GGCGTATCTCTGTGATGTGCACCCATCCTAACACTGTCCTGCACATCATCCTCATCAAACTCATTCTCCTCATCCTTCTCATCCTCATCCCCCTCTTCCAGGTCGTCCTGAGAATACTCAGGTACATAAATCGGCTGACTAGACCGAATCTGAAGTGGTACACCACCCATAGTGACCTGAGTCATTTTCATTCGCTTCTTTTTCTCTTTTTCCTCTTTTTTCTTCCGACGACTCATGGTCAGATAACGCGCACGAATCTTACGCTTACTAGTATCTTCAGTATCACTAGTATCACTATCATCATCATCATCACAATAAACCTATAAACAAAATTTTATTCATCTTCATCATATTTTCATAGTCTAAACAAATAATTATACACATTTCCTAAATCCTAAATAGTTTAATAATTAAGTACACTTTGATTAAACGTACAATTCATATAATAATTAAGTAAACTAAAGTACTTTGTCCAGTTTTAATTAAATTACTATTAATTATAATTAATTAAAAATACTCAACTATTTTACAAAATATTTATATTAATTTAATTAATCATAAACTACAAATTAAATTACTATTAATTATAATTAATTAAAAATACTCAACTATTTTACAAAATATTTATATTAATTTAATTAATCATAAACTACATTTCACACAATTTAGATTAGCTTTACTAATCTACTACTATTACTTAAATTAAAAATAATTTAATCAATTAAACCAATTAGATATTGAACTAATCTACTATTAATTAAATTAGTTTTTAAAATTCAACTAATTTACATACTATTTAAATTAATTTAATCAATTAAAATGATTAACTTTACTAATCTACTAATAATTAAATTAAAAATATAACCTAAATACTTTAATAACTATTTAAATTAATGAGTAAATCAATCAAACTAATTAGGTAATGAACTAATTAGGTAAATTAATGAGCAAAACGCCCGTTCCGGGTTGCGCGTCCCGGTCGCGCCGCCGGACGCCTTCCATGGCTGTCCGGCGGCCACACATAATAATAAAAAATAAAAAAAAATCTAGCCAGATTGCATTTTTTTTTCCCTACAATTCACAAATTTTTTTTAAAAAAAAACGTACCCGTGATGAGATCGGCTCTTTTTCCGCTTTGATTCTTCCGTGTTGCCATCAACGGTGAATCAAATTAGACTTCAAAATTGGGTTTAGAAGGGAGGTGGCTTCAAGTTTTCTCTCTTTTTTCCTTTGGTGGAAGTTTGAAATATGAGGGGCAAAATAGTTCAAAAATATTTAAGGTGATTTTAAGTAGTAAAGATGGTGACTTCAAAAACTAGAACCCTTAATTTTAACTTGCTTTAAAAGTGAAAGTCTCCTTCTTCCCAAAGCTGCCGTCAGAGCCAACGGTGCCGCCACCCCTTCTCTCATTTTTTTTCTCAAAAACACGCCACCCACACCACCTCTTACACTTGTAGAACCATCATCAATACATAATTCCATCTCTCTTCCCTTCGTTAAATATCTTCTCGAGTGATCTCATCTCATGTCTATCTGAACGTTAAAATTGAATTTTCAGCGGATCTAGAGTTGGAGTTCTTCGGAAATCGAAGCAGAGCAAGTTTGGTGTAGCAGATCTGGACTGTTGGCTTGTTTCTGAATTGAATTTTGGAGGAACTTTTTGCACTCAAAATCAAGATGAAAAGCCACGACATGACAGAGATTTGGAATTTTCCAATTCGGCGGCTGAAAAGGAACTTGACTGAAAATTAAAAACCGTTACGGATTTGCGCTTCTTTTTTTTTCCACCAGATGAGTCTTATGTTTTGGTCTGGGGGAGGTTCGGTGTTTAGATAGTCACACGAACTGCGAACAGAAAATTTTCGAAAAGAGCACTTATTCATGAATTGATGCTTTAATGAATTAAATTTGTTTCTAAATATTAAAAGATTTGGACATGCTAACGGAGGTTAAATACTGGACATCATCAATTGTAAGTATTGGGAGCTCACCTACCCTTCGGCGGTGATGGTATTGGTTATGATTTTTTGGATTTTGATAGAGTTGGTGGTGGTGCGATTTGCACTGGTGGTAATAGAACGATGATGATTTTGCAGGAAGATGGTGGGATGCAAAAGAAGAGTTTTGGGGGGTTTTTCTTTTTTGATAAATTTTTTTAACTTATTAATATTTAAATTTCAGAATATAAATAAAAATCTTTTTATGTTTAGTATAAATAGTGATTTGAAAAGTGAAAAAATAATTGGAATCTTTTGTATCTGTAAACAATGAAACCATGAGAGAGAGAGAGAGAGAGAAAAAAAAAAGAGTTTCTTAGTTTGTAAAAAGGCTTTTTAATATATATGTATATATATTATAATTCTGTTTTTATGATCTAATTAGTTTTGAAATTTTCCAAAAATAAAGTTACATATACTGAAAAAATGTATATTTTTTATGTTCGAGTATGAAAAGTATTTTTTAAAAGAAAAGAAATATGGAAATAAAGTAATGTAAATTCTGCATTATGGAAAATTTTGATGAAAAGCCAAAATTACCATCTTGGCAAGTCAATGGGTGAAATTTTGACTGTTAGTTTTTTAACCATAGTTGGATGGAAAAGTGGAAAAGACAATCTTTCAATTTATGATACCACTTAAATTGTTTTTAAACATAATGGGAGGAATGAATATGGACCTCGAAGTTATGATACTTTTTAGACTAATTAGTGAAAATATAACATCCATAATAAAGAACAGAAGATGAAGGAAAATGAAATTTTCTATAGTAAATAACAGAAGATGAAAAGAAATGAAATTTCAGTAATCTTAATTAAAAATCACAATAAATAAAATGGTAGAAAAACAGATAGGTGCAGTAAGTTTGACTTTAAAAGAAAAAGAAACTGAAAATATATATATTAATAAACTATCCATCTCTTATTAGTCATTGTTGAGGTTCAATCCTATTTTTTGAAAAGGAAATGAAAATATATTGGGTCAACGTACAGATTGATCCGCAAAGTTAAATTATGGACTCTTTGCCGGTGGCTTTAAAATTAGGGTAGGAAATTATCCATTGTGGCTTTTTTTATCCGATCTAATGTAACAGTGTGTTTGACGACCCATTATAACTATACAGATCATGAATGTCCAATCGTTCATTTAAATCTTTTTTTTTTTCCCGAAGGGTACCGTTCATTTAAATCTTGAGAGAATTTGGCTAAAGAGCGCTAGAAGAGGTCAAATTAATAAAAGGAGTATGATCAAAAAATATTTTGTATAAAGGGTGATAATTTATTGTCAAAAATCTTAAAATAGAAAATACTTTGAATGAACAATATTACCCTTATAATTTCTCACACAAATTATTAAAAAAAAATATGAAAGCCTAAATCGTTTGTGTGATGGAATAACCATGGAATCACTCCAATTTTGAAGTTTAGCCCAGTTATCAATGGCGGCTAATGTGATTGATGAGGCCATATGCCAAACAGAAAGTTACAATGAAAGTGATACCGGAAACGGTCAACGATATTATCATGACAAGGCCTTTCGACAACCTCAAAGTTCATTAATCTGTTGAGGTTGGTGCTGGAATTAGTTTACTTAAGACAAATTGAACATATATATATATAAAGTGTACTCGGGGAAGTCATCTCAGAAACTCAGAATGGATTTGTCCCCGTAAGGTACATTGGAGACAACATCCTTTTGGCCCAGGAAGTAATTGAATGTATCAGGAAACGGAAGGATGGCGAAATTGGGTATGCAGCAATTAAGCTGAATATGAGTAAGGCCTACGACCGTCTATCTTGGCAATTTCTACAGTCTACAATGGATAAATTTGATTTTCCAGCCTCGTTAACACATACAGTTATGAAATGTGTCTCAACTGTAACCTACTAAATCTCTTTCAATAGGTGGAGATCAGAAGCTTTTGCCCCAAAACAAGGCCTCTGCCAAGGATACCCTTTATCACCATACCTTTTTATCGTCTGTCAGCAGTGCTTTCTTCGGCGATCCACAAGTTAGACAGATAGCACCCCCGTTTTGGCATCAAAATAGCAAGGTCATCCCCAAGAATCTCTCATTTGATGTATGCTGATGACTGTTTGATTTTCATGAAATGCAGGGACTCAAATATCACGAGTTTTGGACGAATCATCGACCAATATACCAAAGCATCAGGGCAAAGAGTTAATTTTGAAAAATCCACAGTTCTCACAAGCCCAAATACCAGGAGACAGGAGAAGGAAATGATGGAAATGTGGCTCAGGGTTAAGAGTAAACCGGCTCCGGGAAAGTACTTAGGAATCTCACTGGACTTCATGCAGAAAAAAAAAAAACATTCTTTTCAGCAGCATCACTAGTAGAATCCGAAGCAAATTGATGGACTGGAAAAACAATTCCCTGTCTACGATGGGCCGGATTACGTTAGCTAAACACTGCCTGACCTCGCTCCCAGTATACAGGATGGGGGCATTTAAGCTGCCCCAATCTGTTACATCTCAAATAGATCGCACAATTGCGCGATTCATATGGCAAGGAGACAAGGAGGGAAGAGGTATACATTGACGATCATGGACCCATTTATGCAAATCAAAGTTCAGGGGTGGATTAGGATTTCGGTCAGCTGCAGAAATAAATCAGGCACTGTTGGCAAAAATTAGCATGGAGAATACATGAAAATCCATCATCCGTATTCGTCAGAATTTTTCTGGCAAAATATGGGAAAGGCTGGGATATTTTGAGTTGTGCTATGCCGCAGAGTGCTTCGTGGGGATGGCGTAGCATAAAGTGGGGGAAGGGAACTACTCCAAAAAGTTTTAAAATGGAGGGTCATCAATGGTAGAGACATCAAAATAGAAGAAGGCTGGATTCCGGACTGCCGTAACCCCATCCTAAATCATCCTCTACTACAAGATCTTCTAAACTACAAATTATGTGACTTCCTAGACACTGCTGGACATTGGAACAAACAAATACTGGAAATCTTTTTCCCTTTGGAGACAGTAACTAATGCGTATCTTAGAAATCTACATACCACAAAATTTTGACCAGCAGCGGGATAAACAAATTTGGAAATTCTCACGCTCAGGCACGTACACTGTCAAAAGTGGTTACCATGTTGCGTCAAATGCCGCCACCACCCCAGTCACTAATGCATCTACCTCTAGAGTAACAGCCTTTACAGAGGAGGCTTGTAAGAAATTTTGGAAAATCAGCATTCCAGCTAAAATCAAGTGGCTGATTTGGAAAGCAGCGAACAACGCTCTACCAACCTTACAGACTCTGGAGAGGAGAAATATACGACATCAGCTACGATGCTCTAGATGTGAAAGCTGGCATGAAGATGTGGAACATGTATTTCTAGAATGTCAGAAATCTAAGATCGTCTAGCAGACTTCAACCCTGGGGCTATATTTTGATAAAGGGGAGCCGACGAGCTTTTGCGGTTGGCTGAATGACTGGATCTTATCAGCGCCGGGAGAAGAGCCCCTTCGACTCTCTTTCTATATCATATGGGCCATCTGGAATATGAGAAACAGGGCAGTCTGGGAGGGGTAGCAACAAGATCCATACGATGTCCAGGTGTGGGCTACAAAAGAATTCGAATTTTATCAGCGGAACACAAGGGTGAGGCAGCATGATCAACAGAACATTTCAAATCTCTCAGAAATTGAAGCAGGAAATGGGGGATCAACACAGGGTCAACACCAAGGCGTTATCATAAGAGTAGATGGTGCCTTTAAACAGGAAAGTCGTATTGGAGCAGCTGCATGGGAAATTCTCACAAACACAGGTTACCACCTCACGTGGGGAACTGAGACCTTTTATGCTTCATCGGCTCTACATGCTGAAGCCTTGGCTTGCTTGAGAGGGCTCCAGTCTGCAAGAACAATGGGATTACAGAAGGGGGTGCTTCAAACTGATAATGTTTCAATGGCAGCGATAGGCAATGGTAGATTATTGCAGCAACCCTTAGTAGAGCTAGGTGCTGACATCCAAAGTCTTATTTGTCCTAAGACTAATATGCACTTGTAGAAAGTAAAAAGAGAACTAGTGGAAAATGTTCATAGATTGGCTAAGGCGGATTTAGGTGTTCACATTTCTGTGTAACTGTAACGCTTTGGTTAATATACATGAACATAATGTTCTTTAAAAAAAAAACCTCAAGAAATTTAAATTATAATAATATTAATACCATCTAATTTTTACACCGTCTTTTTTCACCTCATGTTTCATTGTTCATTTACTCTTTGTATGATCCGTTGCTTTAGATTTTATTTCATAATCGACTATTAATCGAGTACGTAATATTTTTTTCACAATTAATTATTATATTAATAATATATTTTAATATATTTCGTCTAACGTACGGAGAACCTAGTTGTATTAACAGCCACAAGTCCCCATTCCACAAATTTGATGAAATGCCAATAACGCCTTTGCATGTGTTTAGCATATGGCTCGTCTTTTTGAGAGGGCAAAAACACGAAAATGGATATATTGGGCTTACCCTACGGGCTGATCTGGTAAAGACTTACTATGAAGTATGGACTCCAATCATGGTTGGTGTTTTAAAATTTTAAAACAAAATACGAACTTGACCGAAGTATAGTTGCTTCCTCGTTAAAACGCCGAAAACAAAAAGAGGGAAAAGAGTCAAACGACGAAAGAAAATCTCATCAAACCTCTTCCTCTATTTATAGAAAGTTCTCTCAGCCGCTGTACTCGTGGCCGGTCGTCTGCAGCAAAATCTGGTCGGCCCTTTGCTCTACCAATCAATAATACTGGACACATCGACCAGCTGAGGTGAGTAAGTGTATGTATTTTACAAAAACTTTAATGAAAGTGTCTGTGATTCTTACAACAATTTCCACCAAGGTCAAACGTTTATACCAAGATCGGATTTTTATGTCCCATCGACCTGATTTGAAGCATGGTTTATATGGAGACAATTTCAGAACATAGACGCTCTCTATCTTTGAGTTTGAATTGAAAGTTAGAGTGGGGCTGTTCGTAAGGTTGTGTAGATAACGTGGTACTTTCTCTGAAGTCTGGACTCAATGAATGATTTGAAGTTTTTCCACCTGAGTTTCCGCTGCGTAATAGTTCTTCTGTAGACAGATTACTATTTATCTTGCTTGTAATTATTTATATTTGTACTATTATGATTATTTTGAAGGATTTGATGTTCTGGAAGGGAAGGCTGCAATAGTTATACTTGCTGAAAGCTTTTTTTCTTCCAAGATCCAATTTTTATTGATATACTTCTAATGTTGCTCCTTTTGACCTTCATCTGTTTTGAGCATTTTTTAATGGAAAAATTCTTAGGTGGTACAGTGGTACTTTTTATGTGACTCTGAAATAAAAGTTAGCTGTTATAATGTCTCTGGTCTCCGCCTGTCTTCTGTGATCTAATGAATGGAACCTTTCCCACCTTAGTTTTCTTCCCATAGACAGATTTTGGGCCTTTGCTGATCTTGCTTGTAATGATATTTTGTTTGAGGTTTCGATGTTTTTATCGCTGAAATTTTCTAGGAAGCCATCAATCGTTATTTTTGCTGAAAGCTCTGATCTGGATGGGAGAAAAGGTGTCTTCTGAGTTTCGACTCAAAAAGGTAAACCGCATCGCCTATATCTTAACCGTTTTTAACTGTGGTTCCCTTGTGAAATATTACGCAGATTGTAATGCTTCTCCTGTTTTTTCTTTTCCTCTCTCCTTCCCACATAGTTTGCTAAGCAAGAGCAGAAACCTTTGGATCGGATTAGTGAGCTCTCTGATGATATTCTCATCTCTACCCTCTCACTTTTAACGTTTGAAAATGCTGCCAGGACAAGTGTCCTGTCCAAACGTTGGATAGATCTTTGGTTGTCTACGAGTGAACTCAGTTTTGACTTTGCAAAAATATGGAAACGGATTGAACTAGCACGTGATTCAGAGTATCGAAGATTAATCAAGCGCCACCGACAAAAGTGTGTTAACTGGGTGAACAAGGTGCTGCTATCTCACAAAGCCACTTTTTTGGATGTCTTCAGAGTTCGCTGTTATTTGAACAAATTTTTTGCGAAGGACGTTGATAAATGGCTTCAGTATGTGTCTACAAGAAGAGTGAAGAGTCTGGATTTGAACTTCTTACGATATGATGGTGTGCCGAGTGATGTGGAATGGGCTTATACTTTTCCCCATGACATACTTGGCCTGACTTATGCTTCTGCCGTTTGTACTACTGATTCCGGTGAAAATGGCATCAATTTTGACACACGGTTTGGCTTTAACGCCCTTAGGAATTTGGCTTTGAAGAATGTAAGTGTGTGTGGAAAAGTTCTTGAATTTTTCTTGCATAATTGCCCGTTTCTTGAATCTCTGGCAGTGGAATGCTCTTACATTCTGGAACGATTTGAAGTCTGTGGCCCATCCATTGCATTGAAGCACCTTGAGATAACTCATTGTACCAAATTGGATTCCCTTATTTTATGTAATGCAAATCTTGTTTCACTTAGATTTATTGGAGGTCGTGGTATGGTGCTTAAGAATGCTCCCAAGCTTGTGGATGTTATCGTTGACTGGTCATCTTTCAACCTCAGTGTCTCTGAATCCATCACCTGTCTTAGTTGCTCTCTGTCGAAATTGGAGGTTCTTACTTTGAAGTTCCGCGCCGAGGACATTTATTATGTTAGTCTCAACTGGTTCATTGAGCATTTCTTTTAAATTTACATGTTTTTACAAGTATACTTTACAACGGTTTGTGATTGTCATGTCATTTTCTTTTGGTTTGATTATTCCAGGAAGAAGACGCAAACGGAGCGCTTCCTTGTTTAACTACATTGAAGCAACTAATTGCCATTGTTTGGGATCTAGAAGACGAGAGTCTGATTGCAATAACTGCTTTCATAAAGGCATCCCCTAACTTGGAGAAGTTTGTCTTGAAGGTTTGTTGTTTTTAAGTATATGTAAATTGGTCAGGTGTTATATCCGGCTTTTTCTGTCCATTGTCTCAAATCAGTTGCTGTTGTTGTTGTTGTCGCCGTCGTCGTAAATCAGTTATTATTACATTTTGTACGCTTCTCTAAAGTTAAGTATATGGTCTTGCGCTTCTTTGTATGTCCTGCTATCCTGCGACATGGGCTGTACTTGTAAATCATGGGTAATAACTGTTTGCACTATGTGCCCACACTCAATTTTCACCATCCATGCAGGAAATTATGAGCTTACCATATTTTCTTACAATACTCTTTGTTTAGTAGAAGCTTTTTTTTTTTTTTTTTTTTTGCCGTGCTAAGATGTATCTTCTCATTTTCAGTCTGACCGGGGAATTGAAGTTCCCAAAGAGCGTAGGGCTTCTAGAAAAGGTAAAGCCTTGTCCCTTCAGCATCTTAAAGATGTTGAATTTTGGGGATATTCTGGACGAGTGTCAGAGGTGGAACTTGTTGAATATCTCCTGGAAAATGCTGTTGCCCTAGAGAGAATTATGATTGACCCTCGTGACCGTCCTCCTACTCGTTGTGCTGGTTATGATTGGCCTGTTGCTTATCCCCCTGTTGATAATCCAAAGGAGGACGCTATTTACAGAGATATTGCCAAACAACAGATCCAGGGATTACTACCTTCACATGTCAAACTGGTCCTTCTTTAATTGGGAGAAGTAGCAACATGAACTTTTTAGGTTGTGTATCTCTGACCAATGATTCTGAGGGAGGCTGTTTGTAATTTAGCTTATTTATTCTGTCTTATGTTTGTTTCTTTTCACCTGATTTGTTTTCTGTTTTAATTGGCCACTTATTCCATGTGAGGGGTCAAATGTACATACCCATCACAGCTTCAAGACGTGATCTCTTCGCATTGTACTAGCCCACCCTTCTAATAAAAGGAGTTATTGTTTTTGGGCTGGGAGATACTCTGCAATCTGTATATTGGTGTTTAAACTTTTCAGGGGCAAAAAAAAGAGGAAAATCTTGAGTTTTTGTTAGCACTAGTCAGCAACTTAGAACAGACGTTTCTAAACCCACTACAAGCCCTGTGGCCAGTAACAAGGCATCTTCTGTGGCCAGTAACAAGGCATTCATAACCTCGTATGCCAAACAAATGCGAAGGTGGAAAAAAGTCGAGAAATGGTCATTTACATATGTGTAAGATGCCCAGAGGTGAAAAGTGAGGTAATTTTGCTCTTTGGATTTTGTGATTGTAAAGATTAAAAAACCGATGGTAAAAACTTAAGCAAAAAAGATTGCCTTTGTTTATATTTTTTAACATTTACTGAATATTTAATGACCTAATAATACTTTAATAATATTTTAACATCCACGAACTTTGATTTTGCAAGAAATTCGTTAATAGATAAAGTACAAAAAATACCCCTGAGTCTACATGGAGAAGTTGCGGCAACAGTGATTTTGAAAAGAAAAAAAAAATGTCATCATATGTAATGTATGGGACCATTCGACTCAAATGTTGGTGTAGAGGACTAAATTTAATTGTATCCAAATGAAAAATGTCATCATATGTAATGTGACCCAAATGCTAACTTAGAGTAGTAGTAATAAATTTAATTGGGTGAAAAACTCTTATAAATCATCTTTCTCTCTCTTTGCTGATCTTTCTCTCTCTTCGCTCTCGGCGCACTCGACTAACGTGCGTCTGCCATGGCAGGCAGAAAGAAGAAGGGGAAAGCAACTCAGCTCCAAGTAGAGGAGAGAAGAAATCCGATTCTAAGTGATAAAAAAAAAAAAAGATCGAGTGGATGTTATGACGGGCAAATCAAAGCAGAAGAAGGGTTCAACTAGGGTTTCAGATCTACAATCAGAGGAGATAGAGAGAATTGCGGCTGAAATTGAAAATTCGTCTGTTAACAAGAAGGGGGAAGTTAAAGAGAATTCGAAGATGGCTACACCGACAGAAGTAATGGGTATTCAAATGCATCAATCCCTCAGTGATGGACGTAGCAGTGGAAAGAGGCAAAATGAAGCTGAGTTACATGGGCGAGATCTGAATGCTAAGAGACAACTGCAATGGTCCGAAATGATGGAACGAGATGAGAAGCAAGGAGTGTGGGCTAAGAATGATGCAAGTAAATTCAAAGCACCCTCAGGAAAATTGCTATTCATTCCGCCAAAAGAGGTGGCAAGCCAAAACATTGCTCAGATGCAGATGGAGGATGTTAAATCTGAAGCAGAGTACTGGGAATCTTCCATCGTATGTTTTGTACTGTGAGCTCATCCACCAATTGGCGTCATGGAGAGATATTTCCAGAAACTCTGGGAAAATCTAGGCATTGATAAGGTAATTCTCTTGTCTAGTGGGCTTTTTGTTGTTAGATTTACAACTCTGAATGCTAGAGATTCAGTGCTAAATGTGAATTTCTACCATTTCGGGTCAAAGTCCTTAATCGTGAAGCCTTGGGACGTAGAAAAAGGGATTAATTATGATAATGTTGATTATGTTCCGATATGGATACGTTTATATGGCTTGGAAGTTAAATTTTGGAATCTTAATTCCCTTAGTAGGCTGGTTAGTGCAATTGGAACCCCAATTCTAGTAGATGACTATACTGTTAGAAAAAAGAGAGTTCAGTTTGCTAGGATACTGGTTGAGATAAAAATTGCAGCTAGTGTACCTGATAAACTGGTCTTTGAGGATGAGAAGGGGAATGTGAAGGTGCAGAAAATCGTCTATGAATGGTTACCCACTAGATGTACTCATTGTACGGAATATGGTCATCTCACTGATAAGTGCAGACTTAAATTGAGGAAAGTAGAGGATAAGCCTAAACAACCACTGTCAGCTTGGAAAAAAGTGGAAAAGAAGGATGAAGGTAGAAGTAATGCTGAAAAGATAATAGTAACTGATGATAATCAAAGGAAGCCAATAGTGAAGAGAAAAGATCAATCATCATGTGAGGGAAGTTTAGTCAAAAGTATTGGGCAGGTTGCAAATAGTCTACATGAGGAAGGTAATCTGGAGAAGAATAAGGGGGACCAGAGCTGTGAGGACGAGACTATGGTAACTTCTGTGGAGAGTTCTATAAGCATTGGAGCGAAGGAGGGATTAGTTGTAGATCCTGGTCCAAGTTTCTATGAGTAGCATAATATCATGGAATGTAAGGGGTCTCAACTCTCCCCTCAAGCAGAAAGAAATCTGCAAAAGAGTGAATAACCGGAAAAATAGTATGATATGTTTAGTGGAAACAAAGATGAACAGACAAAGAGGAGAGCAGTTTTTGCAAAATTGCTGGAAGGGTTGGCAGTGGTGCACTAACTATGATAGCCATGAACGAGGAAGAATAATGGTGCTTTGGAACAATGATATAGAGGTACAAGTGTTAAGTCAAAATTCGCAGATGATTCATGCCTTCTGCAAGATAAAGCAACGAAGTAGGTCATTTTATTTTACCGGAATTTATGCATCAAATGAACAGGAGGAAAGGTCACAGTCATGGACAGAGTTAATAGAGCTCTCAAAAAGTATTGGAGATCCCTGGTTAATAATGAGGGATTTCAATAACATTTTGAAGCCAGAGGAAAAACTTGGGGAGAAGCCTGTAGTGCTCCAGGATTTTGAAGAATTCCAGTGGAGTATGGATGAATGTGGTTTACGAGATCTAACTCAGAAAGGGAAGATGTTCACCTGGTCCAACCAAAGATTAGGAACCGAAAGGATATATGCTAAATTAGATAGAGCATTAGTCAATAGTGAATGGATTGACCAATATGCCGAGTCTATAGCAACGGTGCTGATGGGAAGGAGTATCGGATCATTCACCAATTGAGGTTCAGTTCAAGGTAGAAATTCAGAGGAGGAGAAGTGCTTTTAGATTTTTTAACGTGTGGTGTCTATCCACTGAATTTCTGAGCACAGTGGAAAAGAGTTGGGCAAAAAGTGTTGAAGGCACTTGTATGTATCAATTATGTCAGAAGCTGAAGCTAAAATATCCATTGAAGAAACTTAACAGACTACAATTTGCAGATATAGTGGAAAAAGCAAACAGAGAACAGGTGCAACTGGAAGTGATGCAACAAAAGCTCAGCTTTGATCCTGGTGATGTTGATTTGCAGATTGAAGAAAGGAAATTGTATCATCAGTATGTAGTGTCCAGAAAAGCTTCATACAGTTTTTTGCAATAGAAATCTAAGGAAACTTGCCTTGGTGAAGGTAATGACAATACAAATACTTCCATACGTCTTTGAAGGTTAAAGCAATGAAAAGCAGAATCCGGGGAGTGTAAGAGGAGAATGGAAGAGAGATTACTGACCAGAAAGGCATCGAAGAGCATTTCGTTTGCTTCTTCAGAGAATTATTAGGGAAGACAAACAGGAGAGAATCAGTGAAGGAAGAAATGTTTAAAACTGGGCATGTACTACCAGTGGAGCATCAAGTGAGACTTATACAGCCAATTTAGAGAGGAGAAATCCAAAAAGCCTTCTGGGATATGGACGTGAACAAAAGTCCTGTCCCCGATGGTTTTGGCTCGGGGTTCTTCAAAGCAGCTTGGTCTATTGTGGAACATGATGTGGTGGCAGCTGTCATGGAGTTCTTCAATACAGGCCAGATACTCAAACAGCTTAAATTCAACTTTAGTTACTTTGATCCCTAAAGTTGATGATCCTTGTAATGCAAATCAATTTAGACCTATATCCTGCTGTAATGTTATTTATAAGTGCATTTCAAAAGTTTTGTGTAATAGAATGAGTAGTATCATGCCTATCTTAGTAGATGAAAACCAAACAGCCTTTGTAAAAGATAGGCTAGTTATACATAATGTACTTATAACCCTGGAATTGATTAGATTGTATAGGAGTAAGAGAATGATGATGAAGATTGACTTGAAAAAAGCATTTGATACTGTGGAGGGGGGATTTATAGATGATATCTTAGGTGGGTATGGATTCCCGGAGGAGTTTAGGAAATGGATTATGGCATGTGTGTCATCACCATCGTTTTCGATAGCTGTTAATGGCTGCTCTGTGGGTTTTTTTGCTGGAAAGCGAGGATTAAGGAAGGTAACCCTGTTTCGCCTCTTCTTTTCGTTCTAGTAATGGAATACCTTACCCGTGGCCTTAAGAAAGTTGCTTAAACAGGTTTTAGGTTTCATCCTATGTGCAAGCAACTAAAACTGATCAATATCTGTTTCGCAGATGATCTAATGATCTTCTGCAAAGCAGATGTTGAGACTGTGAAGAAGGTAATGGGGGTGTTAAGGCATTTTACGGGAACCACGTGTCTAGAGGCAATGTACAAAAGTCTGCTATATATTTTGGAGGGGTTAGTGAGGTACTTCAGGAGAAAATTACTGAAATAGTTGAGTTTCCTGTAGGGGTTTTTCCTATGAAGTACCTGGGTGTTTCGTTGTCACCCAAAAAATAGTCCCAAGTAGAGTGTTAAGGGATCATAAATCGTATCACCGCACGACTTAAGTGTTGGAGCACTCGACATCTGTCCTATGCAGGCAGATTAGTTTTAGTGAATTCAGTACTCATGTCGATGCATACGTATTGGGGTAATATGTTTATTTTACCCCAGAGTATAACAGGGATGGTGAATAGATTATGTAGAGAGTTTCTCTGGGGGGTTAAAGAAAATGGTAGGGCAGTATCCTTGGTGGGATGAGAAGAGATTTGTAAGAAAAAGACAGCTGATGGTTTGGGGATCAGGGACCCGAAAATCTGGAACAAAGCAGCCTTACTGAAACAAGTGTGGCAGATAGCTTCACAGAAAGATGCGTTATGGATTAAGTGGATTCATGGCGTTTATATCAAAAGTTCATCATTCTGGAAAGTAGAGGCTAAATGTGATGCTAGTTGGCAGTGGAAACAGCTCTTGAAGATCAGGGATCAGGGGAAACTTGGTTTTGCTGAAAGCAGTTGGCTGGCATCAAATAATGATAAATATACTGTGAAATCAGGGTACGCTTGGCTTACAGGGAATGAGGTGAAGGCCAGGGAATCTCAGAGCATATGGTCACGAATGAATGTCCCTAAACACTCATTCATAACCTGACTTGCATGGAAAAAGAGGTTATGGATAAAAGATAGACTCATCTCAATGCATATGGTTGTAACTGATCAGAGTTGTTTGCTGTGTAAGTTGCAGCCAGAAATTGTTGAGCATTTATTTTTTTAGTGCAACTTTGCAGCAGCATTACTGGAGCAAATTGTCAACTGGCTGGCTTGCAAGAAAATAGCAGCAAATGAAATACGGTGAAGGGTGCAAATTCTGAATATGTGGAAAGGATAGAAGACTAAAAGGAATCTTCTCTGGGCTGTAATAGCAGCCTGTATTTATCATCTGTGGGCGGAAAGAAACCGAAGACAGTTCCAACAACTGGAGAAGAGTCCAGAACAAATCATGTTCCTGATCAAAGATGAAGTGAGATGCCGTTTCTTGCATTGTCACAAGACGAAGAACAGAGCAGCAGCAAAGATCTTTGCAAAATACTTCTGAATCAGCTAGATCAAGTAGGAAACTGTATAAGGGCTTAAATATGTGTATTCTTTTTTGACCTTAGTAGTTTTCAAGGAGATCCTTTATTCTCCAGCAGTTTTGTAGATAGCAGATTTTTGTTCTGTTAAACTGTGTTTGCAAAGAATGGTCATGGTCTCATTTGGTGTGCCAATCTTTATATATATGCTTACCTTTTTACACCAAAAAAAATAAATTTAATTATGTCCAAAATGTAAGGGACTGATCCGAGAGTCTACTCAACTACTTAGGAAAGACTTGTGATTTGTTAACGAGAAGAGTCACCTGGTCCCCTTGAATCCGTTTGAATGAAACAAACATACATCCACATAAGGTTCAAATTAACCAAATGACGACAAACTTCAGACCTGGGCTAAGTTGAGGTTCTAGAATATTTTCTGGTAGCTCGGCTCCTCTTTAAGACCTTGAAGGCTTCAACAAGCATTTTTCATTGATGGATCGGAAGTTGGAAAGTTCTAAGGATCAGCCTTGGGCAAGGATCTGCTCTGATAAACACACGGGATAATCTGTCACCCACTGTGTACATCACTTTCTCCCCTGATCCTTTTAAGAATCCTGGGGATCCAATTGAATATTAGGTTGCTAGCTGGTCTTATATCATAGTCTTTGTAGATTCATGCATCTCTACAAGAAAATTATGCATGAGAAATACAACTGAACAAACTTCTCCCTTGAAGTAGTCAAATCAAATTGAGGGATAATAGATAATTGAGTTAGCAAATCCAGTTCTGGCTTGAAACTTTTGTCCACCGTATCAAGAAGTTTTTGGACCTGAACCCTAAAGGCAAAGCGTCATCATTGATAACATGCCAAGGCTGAACATTAGTTCGGGAGCTATAAAACAAGAATTTGCAGAGTCGGTGAAGTTTTACTCCCAACCATAAAAGTATCCATTTGTTCTCTCTTCAGTAAGCATCATAAATTCATGATTCAAATTTCCCACGTTACAATTACAGCAAAGCTATGCTCTTGAACAGTACCTAGCTACTTCAACACATCTTATAGTTGCTTATAGTATCAACTATCAACAGTTAGATGGTGTTCATTCAGTACACACTCTTTTTAACATATTCCACCCTTTCACTAATTAAGGTGGAAAACTCCACAATTGTAATCTATCATCATAAAGTTCAATGCAAAATAACTGCAAAGAAGATCAATGTAATGGTAAAATCATGATGAAATGACCATTCACAAGAAAATCCAGACAACAAAAATTGTTTTCAATCCATGGTTTTTCTTCCAAAATTAGTAACTGTAAGTCTGTGACCCCATTTCCAAAAAAAAAAAGTAACTGTAACTGGAAAAACAGAGTAAGAAAGGAAGACAATAATTTAACAAACACACAATAAATCGATCGGGGCATAATTAATGAGGTATGTGTTAGCCCCTATAGCTAGAAGAGAGTGAGCTAATGTCGTTTAAAGCAGAAATCTTCACTACGCCTGTTTGTCATCAAATAATTAAGCACTGAAAGGGAAGGATTAAGAGGAAGTGGTAGGCTATCAAGATATCTATAATGCTACATCATCAAAACAACTTTCAGCAGTACATCTGCCAGCAGGAACCCACGAAATCCTTCTTAAGGATGGCACATAACAACCGGCCTTAAGTGGCCTATTCCTTATGCACACAGCAGCGTTGTTTCTCCAAATGACTATCAAAAAAATGAAACTCCTAAACAGCAGAATCAAGCAGTAGGACTTCTATGAATGTGACACTTAAATATGAATAAAAGTAACTGCTCCAAGTATAGTTCTGCAAAGAGGAACCATGAGTACCATTGTGATTGCATCGACAGTGCCAGTTCTTGAAAACAGCGTCCATAATTTTACCAGACAAATTACAGGATAAATACAACTCAGCAACAAAAATATACATCAACACAACTTTCGTTGCCTCCACTTATCTTCAAGAGATCTATATCAGAATAAAAGGGAAAACAAATTAAACAGATGCTCTCCAATCTGACCATGATCATGATTTGGCTGAGGTTCAAATTGGGTAAAACAGAATTGGATCAAGAAGATTGGAGAGGCTTAACCACTCACAGTAATCCAAGCAAACAGATATCAAGACAAGAAAAACATCAACCGAAAACCTTCAAGACAAGAAAAACATAAACCAAAAACCTAAAATATAATAAAGAGAACAGAATTATTTTAGGCATATCCATCATTCATGTGTATCATAATAAGAAATCCAGCGGTCCAGCCCATCCACAAAAACCATAGAGATGTAAATCTTTACATAACGTATCAACTAGAGATTAAACTAATGACTGCAAAAGGAACTGACAGCCTTATTTACAATATGTATTATACTCCGATTATTAAATTCCAATTCTATGGCTCACCATCGTCATCATCATCATCAGTAGCATCATCATCAGTAGCATCATCATCAATAGCAGCAGGAACACCATCACTACCCTCATCAGCATGCTGAGTACCACTTGCCTCATCAGCATCCTCGGAACCATGTGCCTTATCCGCATCTTCACCCTCCGGTGGCAGAGAGAGACCGCTGTAGTCGGTTTTCTCAGTCTTACGGGTAATTAGGTCACCATAAGTATCACCACTACCGGCCAATCAGGAAACATCCTAGTGAGTTTCAGCATATTTTTACAAGAATTCCTTAAATCAACTGGTATCTCTTTGTATTTAATCAATTCAGACATTCGACTCAGGAAGGGTGCTGCTGTTTCAGAGAGCTTAACTAGCAACCCAAGACCCGTATCCATCATCCTGCCCTCCGCGGCCAAAAGTGCATCAGGCATCTCTACAACCTCCAAGTCAATCTTTCTTGCTTCAATTGCCAGATCCGGGGCGACACAAACAAGCTTGATGCGCCATCCACCCTTATGAATTCGCGTGAGCTTCTTGAGAAGATGAATCTCCGGCACATTTTTTACTTTGATAATCTGATATTGGCGGAGTCCAGCGAGCCACTCGCTCTCCAACTGAGCCAGTCTCGAAAAGCTTCATCCCACGTTGATCCATCTCCATTTTTGAGAGAATTTGGGGAGAAGCGGGTTAGATGTGAGAGAAAACGGTTTTGAAAATTGAAATTTGGGACTAAAATTTGTGAGGCGCAAAATTTGGCGTTTTTATACAGTACCGGGCTAATTATCGCGTGGCAATCCGCGAGAAGAAGGAAAAACCAATCAAATGTCAGGAGCTAAAAACTATCAACCAATGGCACTGAGTTTTGATAGAGGCAAGGATCATATTGTATTAACCGTCAGATATTGGATATTCCTATCTAGCCGTTCATTTGAATAACCATGTTAATCTTATCCAAGCCCAATAGTCGTCTTTACCCTACTCTTAACAAGCCCAATAAACTACTTTTATTTTTATTCACTTTGTAATAATAATAATTACTAATACGTATGTCACCTTTCTAGTACTACAAAATCTATGTATAATGGTTGAAATAATTTATTCAATTATGATTTTTATTCAATTTGTAAAAGGAAAAAAAATTAATATGTTTAACATCATCTACTCAGTACTTGTAAAAATTAACTATGTTTATTATTCAACCAAAATAATAAAGAAGTAACATCATCTACTCAGTATTATGTTTAACATTTATTACAGTCATCAGTGAAAAGAGCAAAGAAAAAAGAGTTAAAAATACCATGTTATCATTAATATAGTTGAAATTGATCATTTCATTACATCTTTTTAGTCATACCTAATGTATTTTTTTTTTTAACTCTTTATTTACTAGCATAATTTTTCCTATGGCTAAATAATAGTAAGACTAGAGAGAGCATATGCAAAAGATTTTCTTTGTGAGTCATTGACGACATGACCAGCTTCAAGGAATTAAAATTACATACTGTATACGCTATTTTTTTTTTTTTTACAAGTATACGCTATAAAAACAACAGAGAATAATTTCTTCTCTGTTACATCTTATCTATAGTACTTAATTAAAGCAGCAAACAAAAAGAACATGTGTCATCACCACAATGAAAATTTTCCCACCAAAAGTCATTTTCAGTACAAAATCATTTTTGACATGTGGCACTCTAACTAATCAGAAAAAAAGGATGAAATACATAAATAAATAAATCCCTTAATTATAGCTACATAAAAATCCATTAATTATAGGTATATAGTAATCTCTTAAAACAATAATATTGAGTTGATAAAATCAAATGTCAGAAAATCTCCTTAAATCAAGTGAAACAACACTGCCACTCAATCTCAAATGATCTTTTCCATTCCGCTCCTCTCTCAGACTCGGGCCTTCAAATCAACTATTTAAAATCTGACATCAATTATCAATTCATCTCTTTCTACAATAGAGGAAAAAGAAGCAGTCATGGAAGGAAATTTGATTTTTTAAGGATGATTTTTTTTTTCTTCTGTTTTAGATATTGGTTTATGAGTTATGTAAATCCGGGTATAAGTTAACTGTTGTAAATTAACTGTTGTAAACCCCGACATAGGTTTATGTGTAATAACTCAGTTCCTGTCCTTTTAATCGATTTTTTATTTTTCTGTTGTTTATTCTTTTAAAGATAATTTATTTTTTTATTTAATCGATTAAAAGTAAAGACGGCACCCCGGGCATTCGCCCGGGGCAAGAATCTAGTCTATAGTATTATACTAAGAGAGAAACCAGAGAGAGAAAACAAAAACATGTTTCTAGAGTGCCATGTAAACAAAGATCCTACATGTCAATTTCTCAAAATTTTGGGAAAAAATAGGTTCCGAATTTATGCTAATAATCCTTGAAGTATGTCAATAATATCAAACTACCCCAATTACCATATTATGCAAATTAATTAATTTTAATATTAAATGCTCTCATTTTTTTTAAAAGAAAAATCACTTTAATTTGGTAACAATATTTTTCTTTAACACATGAACTAAAGGCCAAATCATGGTTACATTCATGATTTATTCTAACCTAATCAATTCAAAAAAATTGCATTCTTAAATAATAGTAAAAAATTATTTAATTATTTTAAAATAAAAT